AAGTTTAATTTTACTGTAAATGAATCGATATTCTACACAGATCAACTTTATTAGACACATTATCTGCAGTTATTGCACCCTTTTATGGATGCTTTAGACATTTCTTTCGGTCTTATTTCTATACATCGAGTTTCTCGTACAATAAAATTACTTTCAAGACATTTGTTCCTCGTTTCGTCCTCTCTTAGGTGAAAATGTTGATTGCCTTTTTCTTAAATTAGAAAACTGTACTGTATAATTTCTAGTATATAAAAGTAAAGTGCAGATAATAGGATAGCGACTTGTAGAGAGGTAGAAAGAAGACGTGTAGGTGGATGGGTGGGTGGATAGAGAGGGAGGGGAAGGAGTGAATGACTGAGAAAAAAGGAACAAGAAAAAGTAGAGAATAAAAAAGGCAGTGACTGTCAGAGAAAGACGGTTATTTCAACAGAAGATTGCTCTTATATATACTGTATATATCTTAGACGCTTCTTCAATGTCCTTGTACAAATAATACAAGAAATACCAATAAAACTTGTCTATAGCTAACAAAAAGTGCGTATTTTAGCCCATTCTCAATTCTTCTTTAAAGGAAATAAAAATTCTCTAGATATTGGTGATATTTAGAAGGACATAACGCCTTTAATTCCCTTCTACATATATATTAGTTGCTTATTATTCGCCTCGCGTATTGTCGACAAACAAATCCGCTAGGCAATGAGATAAAATCTCGTTATTCCGCAAATGACGATATAGACAAGACGGGCTAGGAGGCCCAATCGTCCATTCTAGTGGCGTCTAAAAGGATGCCTGAGTGTCTAATCTGGATTGTACAGGGAGAAATAGAGTGATTTTTTTTCAAAGAATTTCTACCGTTTCTTTTACGATTTTACGCTAGGGGGCGACCAGGTGCTAATCGATTAATCGCGATAATCCGACCACGTCACGTTGCCTATTTTTTCCTAAGGCTCCAAACGGAATCGATCGGAGCTCTGGTGTAAATAGTAATTTTTTGTGGTATTTGACGTATGAATGTTTGGGGATAATTTTTCTCATGCTTAGCATCAACACAACCTTCAAGATTTATTATCTAATAAATCATATCTAATTTCTCTTTAATCTTATTATCGGGAGACTGTTATTGATAAACATAAATCGGGATTGAGAGAAATTAACGAACAACACCTAAAGGAAGAAGAAGAAGAAGAAGAAGAATATAAGGAAGAGCAATTTGTTTTTTCTTTTTGATTAAAAGAAACGATAAAGATTTCTTCTCTTTAGCAAGAAAAGCAAATCATCTAAAAGCAAATAGAAAGAAAAGTAGTAATAAATAACAATTTCTCTATAAACACTGTATTATAAATTAGATAAACTGTTTAAAAGAGAAAGAAAAAAGAAGAAAAGAGGAGAAATTGAGGCGTTAATGGAGAGGATCTAGTTTCTGGTTTATCCGAGCAATTAAGGCCAAAGCTGTTTTGTTTTGACACTTTATTTTCAAAAGACAATACCTTGCTTCAAAACACACACACACATATATATATATATATATAATTTATACTGTATATAGTGTATATATATACATATATATATGCTTCTTTTCTATTTTTCCCTCTCGACTTCCCATCATCCTCCTTTCCTTTTACTCTATTTCAATTCATTCACTTGAGACGATTGCCCCAAAAAAAAGAGATAGAAGCTATGGCAATACAATATTCTTTATCTTATACAATTTCTATTTCGCCAATAATGGTTATAGAAATTTATTTTATCCAACTGATAAGAGACATATTAATCAAATAGTAATTTATTTATATTTAGATTTATTGAATGCAAACAAGGTGCTGGCATCTTGCTATGTTAGAAAATATATATACTGTATATTTATATATATATATATATATGCATATAAATGTATATATATATATACATATATACATATATAAAGTCAATGCTTTGTAGTAAGGAAGCTACTAAAAATAGCAATAATTGCAATGATCTCAGCCAGTCAGTCACGTCGACCATTTTTTTCTTTAAACCCCAGAACGGAATTGATCGAATCGCGCTACAAATACTAATTTTCTATGTAAGAAAAAGAGGAAAGCTGTTTAATCTATTTTAATTGTCGTTGAAAGACGTCGGGATACGAAAATAGAGTAATTTATTAAAACTGGTCTAACTCTTCGCTTGAAAAGGCGTCTTTCCATTTTATTTTTTTTTCTTAACCGTCTAATCAAATGGTCATATATTATTGGTATAAGAATGTAATATAGCGTACAATATACCGGAGTAATGATAGCTAAAAGCTTTATCATTATCCGAAAATGACTACTCAACTTTTCCTTAATCTCTATTAGTATTGATGAATAAAAGATTTAGGTATTAAGTAGGGAGGAAGAAAATCTCTCTCCCGCTCTGTCGGTGCTCTCGCTCTCGCTCTTTTTTTATATTTCCATAAGAAAAGTCGACAAAAAATGTATTCTTTAAAAAATAGAAAAAATTAAAACAAATTGCTGTAGAAAAATGACGATTTTTTTTCACTGTCTACAAAAAGACGTATACCAACACCGTAATAGAAAATAAATATATAAATATGGACAACAAAAAAAGCGCGCACGCTGCAGTTTTATGGCATACAAACAACTTTAGAAATTTTTTGTGTTTTCTAAAAAATTTACTCACTATTCACGGTTTTAGAGACTAGTATACAATTTTTGTTTGTATATAGCACAGAAATACTGAATTATGCCAAAAACACTAGTACTAGATGTACATGTAACATATATAAGTATTAATATACGTATATACATATACATATATATATATACACAGACATAAAATGGCGCGCTCAGTAAAATATGCATTTAATTTCATTATGCAAAAATCTTTAATTCTGATCAGTAAAAATCTGCCGAATATTTGACTTAGATCGACCTATACGTTCTGCATATGTCTAAATTTTCTATAATAAAAAAAACATATAGATCAGAATTCGCGTTTAGAAACATAAAAAACACTACAGTATAAAAACATTGACGAATATAGAATTATTAAAAAAATTGAAAAAATATACACACATTCTCCATGCAGGATGTTTAGAAAAGAATATTTTCCTACAAATTTCAGACATGGCTCGCTTTTCTTTAAGAGTGCTTGTATACAACAGATACAATTTATTACCATTTACACGCAATACTGCTTACAAGACAGTATAACAGTAAATACGTTGTCTACTCTTATTTATTATTTTATTCAATTCATTTCTATATTTATTCTTTTTTATCTTGAAAGTTTTCGCTTAATTAAGATTAACAATAGCTCTTTACTAGTTCGTTTTTTATTTAATACTCTATTCTTTCTTTTAGTGTATATTTCATTTTGCTTTATCGTCTCTTAATTATTTCTTTATCTCGGCGAGAAAAGAGTCGCAAGCAAGAAAACAAAATGAAATGATACATAAATAAGAAGAAAAGAAAATGAATGAGTAAAAATTAATATGGCTCGCTTTAAAGATATGTCTCTCTCTTTAACATTAATAATATTTTGTAAAAGTTCTATAAATTCAATTTTTTAAAAAAAAATAATAATAAAAGAAAGAATAAAAACAGCAAAAGAAGACAAAAGAAAATTAAAACAATTGCAGTTTGCCTTTCATTATTAAAATTATTCTTTTCTTTCTTTCTTTTTCAATGATCAAATCTTTTAGTTTTTAAAAATTCTCTTATAAAACTTTAATACACAGCTATATAAATATCTATATTTTTTATATTATGCTTTTTTTTAATAGTTTTGTTATTTTGTTTGTTTTGTTAAAAGTGTTTATAGATTAAAAATAAAACATAAAAAGGGAAAGAAATAGGAAAACAATATGAAAAAAAAAGACCTAAGATTAGTATAGTACAATTCAAAATGTATAAATGTATGTCTATATATATGTATATATATATATATATATATAGATATATATATATATATAGAGACACGTCAAAATATAATATTCTATAAAATAATTAATTGTTTTTCATTTTTATGAAAATATATAATTAATAAAAAAGGTTTAAGGAAGATTTTTTTCGAGCTGGTTATTTATACTGCATATATACCTGCCTGCTGCTTGCTTGCTTGCCCTATGTCTGTCTGTCTGTCTGTTTTGTTGTTAGTTTCTGTTTCCGATTATTTCTCTACTGGTACATACGATGCGTATATGTATGACAAAAAACAAACAAGTATTGAGCAAAAAACAAAGAAATATGCAAAAGAAAAACAAGATAGTGACGGATTTGTCTAAGAAAAAAGCATTTCTCTATAAAACTTCTGATAAAAATATAGAAAAACATAAAACGTCCCAAAAAATAAGCAATATATAGGATTAAAGCGCCTTCTCTCTCATCGTCATATATATAAATCGATACATATAGCAGGAATGGATGCCTTTTTATAATAAAGCGAATTGATTGCGCGCCGTCGTATGCCAAACTAGACAAACTAGTAGAAAAAAGTGTAAACAATCTAAACATTAAACATTTATAAATCTTAATTGATTGGTCAGTGTGATTTCTACCATAAATATTCCATTAAAGATATAAACTCTCTATTATTCTAAATAAGTTTTGCATGAAATGACTGGAAAAATCGTAGTAAAAAGGGAAAAAATTAGGAATAAAGAATATATATAGACATATATTAGTATATATTCATATATATATATATATATATACCTTATTCATTGTACGGTAACAAAAAATTATACACAACTTTACTCGATTACTGTTTTCTGAAGGCTCTTTAAAAATTCCGTTAGCATAAGGCTTTACCACGGAAGTAGTATTTAAATAAACAGCTTCGATTATTTAATACGGCATCTAATTAGCAGAAATCACTCCGACCTAAAAAACAGCTAGAATCTCACAACGAATTATAGGGAAAAACGTGTAAAGAGAGAGAAGGAAAAAAAAACCTATCCGAGGCGCCGAAGCTCGTCAGAGAAGAAAAAAGCATTTTAGAAAAGGAAATCATCAAACTTTTTAGCACCACCTCGGATACGGCACGGTGCGAGGGCGGTCAGCACCCTCCTTAACGAGCGGCTTATGAAACTCCCTGCCAGGACGAGAGTGGATCTGCGTCCAGCAAACTTCGCAGTAATATTGTAGGCACGTTACATTGGCGCAGAAAAATGGAGCAAACTTTCCAGCGCATCTCATACCTTGACATTCGTCGCACAACTGATCATCCAATACATATGGTTTTACTTCAACTCGTTTATCGATATCAGCATGTTGTAATTGGACGAATCGTGCACTGATTGCAGCTATGTAAGATTGTTGGTTTGAAAAGGCTACTCTTCCTGCTCCCTTAGGGTATTTTAATTCAGGATCTGTATCAATACCAGCGTAGCATACACCACCGTACAATCGATCCATAATCATTGCCAATTCAACAGCTCTTAACGGTCGAGGTACTCCACCTGCATCATTGTATTCACCTTATTAGATAATGCCTGCTTATACTTAATATCCTGGTCACGTTACACTCACCAACAAAAATTGTCTTTCTCGGGTCGAGAGGTTGTGTTCCGTCCATTACAAAATCTGAATCGGATAAAGTCCAAGGTCGAATTTGAACTGGTTTGTCTTTCATCGTTGGGCTCGAAACACACCAATAAAACTTTTGTTGGTCGACTATGCAAGCGTCAATTAGCTGTTGAACGCTGGCTTCCTCTTGAAAGAGTAGAAAACAATAGCCCTTTGGTGGAAAGTATGATTTACTTTCGGCTTTGTGAGGCCAGTCAACGACTAATGGTCCAAAACGACGGAAAGAAGATGTAATTTCCTCCTCGTCAATATCTGGTGGAAGACCTCCGATAAACACCTGTAAGAGAGACCCAATTGAGAAGGTGATTAATAAGAATTAAATATGTTATCCATCAAAATTTACACACAGTTTAATTCTGTTTAAAAGAGCTTTTTTCCCCCATAGAAAAAAAACAACTTATCAATCGAAACTCTTTTAACAACAGTTGTACTTAGCATTGGCGTAAAATTGACGGTTAGCGTGCTTTAACAATAATCGAAGTCATAAAACGCTTCAAAACCTACAAATTTTTGGCATTTAGCTTTTCGTTTCATCACGTGACAATTAGCGAAAGAATCTCCCAGAGGAAGTGACGTCTCTTAAACGCCTACAATATGTTTCTCTCTCGCTCTCCATTTCCATTTTTGCTGTACTATATGAAATTTTTTTTTCTATACAATTTTCATACACGTGGTCCTTTACTCTTTATATATTTTATATATCAAAAAAATTCGGATATAATTTAATTTTTCATTCTATCAATAGCTAACTTGGGAGATATCAAAGATCTTGGAAATGAAAAAAAAGAACTTTGGTCAATAATGCAAAAATTGATCATTTTCTTTTTTACCTTAAGAAAAAATCATTAAAGTCAACGGCTATGCTGCCCTTTAAATCCATCTACCACTCAAGGGAAATACATTGCGCAATTGTGTTACCTCTTATAAGCTAAAGGGGTTTATTTCTATTTCGTAACCGTTTTCCTCACGAAAGGATTTTAAAGATATAATAGTTCGAATTAATAAACGTAGAAAGAGGCTGTTCATGCCCCAGAAACAAATCTCCTTAAAGCATTTCCCTAAAGCCTATTATTGAACAAATTTTCTTATTTTTTCAATTAGCCTATTATATTCTAATTATTTTAATGAAAGAAGACGGTGGCGGGGGATATTCTCTTTCTTAAATTGGCCTACTAATTCTTTGGTTAAAAAACAGACTAGACGACTAACCTGAATATTTTCTTAACATTTTTTCGCACTTAATTTTAGTAAATAGATTTTGAGCTCAGAACAAAAAAGACTATTTTATTTTTCCTACTTTTTCATTTTAACCTTAGAAAAAAAACCAGTAAAATAGGCTTTGATTAACGTCTAATCTATAGCATAAAGGAATACGATATTATTATGCATTCTCATATAAAATATAAGTAGTTGCTTTAAACTAGAGCAAAATGCTCTAGGGACTAAGATCATTATGGAGCTCTTTTTCCTCTATGCAGTCATTTAAATGAAGGCAAAAAGACATCAATCATAAGAAATTTCATCAGTCTGACAAAGTATAGTCTAACTGCTTTTAGAAATGAGTAATGTTTTATATACACAGTAAATATTTTAGTTTTTTACTTTCTGATTATTTTCAATAAGAAAAAGAAAGGGATTCATTTTTCTATGTCATTTCTTTCTTATCTTATACTGAACATATCTTGAACAATAAGCATAATAACTAGAAGATTCCACAACACAATCCACCAATCTTATAGTCTTCTTTCTTTTCTCTCAACAGTAATTAACCTACTTAAAATTAATAAGAAAATTCCGTGATTCGTTTCGATAAGAGTTGGCAATATGTTATTATATAGTCTTTAAAAAAGTGTCTGTATCTCTTGTAGAGTATAAGATATTGATATATATATTATAGGCATGCTTTAATGATATTGATATATATATATACTGTATATAAAATATATAAATGTATAGCTCCAATTTTATGCATAGTAATATTGATATTTATGAGCTCTCATATCTTTTTTCTGCCTTTTTTTGTATATATTTTAATATAATTCTAAAGTCAATATAACTAGAAAATGCCTAATCTTATAAAATATTTCTCTGCCCCTTCAGCGTCGTTAGTGGCGTTTACAAGTCATCGAAAGACGGCCTCTCTAGAAGAGGCTGTTACCCAGCAATATTGTTATTTGATATTAAATGAATAATTAAAAAAAAGTAATGGAAAAAAATTGTTTTATTACAAACCTTCCTAGAAAATTTTTCTCCCATCATCGTAGGTGAAGTTCTGGATGAATTTGAATCAAAGTCATCTGTTGAAAGGATACCATCCTCGGTTGCTGCGAGTCCAAAAGGTGATTTTCCTATAGAATAGAGAGGGGGAAAAAAGAAGAAAAAGAAATTATTCAATAGTCAATCGACAGTTGCACAACAAACTACTGCAGTTTATTTGACTAGAACTTAAAATAAGAAGTAAAAAAAAAACAAAGGGAAAAAAAAGACACACAAACACACACAAATTTTTATATATATGTTATATATATATATATTTGTATATATACATTATAATTTATATATATATATATATACATGTATATACAACACTCTATTCGATCAGTTTGTTCGTGCATAACGAAAGAGAACAAACAAACTAGCAAACCTTTTCGTTTTCCGAATTTGTTAGCTGTAAGAAAAAAAAGAGACGTTTTTGCAAATCTAGACTGAGTTACTTCATCGATTTTCATTTCGGTCACTAATAGTGACCGTGTTTTTATTGGATTGAAATCTACGCGAGAACGCTAAGCAAAACTAAAAAAAAATAGAAAAAGAAGATTGAGGAGTAAGATGGAAAAGTATTTGTTCTATTCCTTAAAAATAAACACTGTACATAGGCGTTATTTTGATTTTATTATTATTATCGTTTATAAATAGGTAAGCAAATGGATAAGTAATACATTATATATATACACCGTATATACATGAGGAAAGAAAGAGAGGGATGATTTTTTGATTGAATGGTCAATAAAGTTGTCCGCATCTGGATGAAATTTACTCTTAAAATTTAATTAATTGCAAATGTTGAAATAGTTTGCGTTTTTCTTCTGCTCTTACAAACATACTGTATATTGTATAATATAATATTCCATTTATAAAATGCTAGTATATCTACTCAATATTTTATTAATAACTACTGCTTAACCATTGCTTAATATACATTATATAAAAATGGAAGAGAGAGCGAAATTTTAAAGCATAAAACAAGACAAGTTACGAAAACAATTATCCATTTATCACCCACCAATTTATTTTCTACTATTTCTGTCAAAAGCCTATCTTCGGAGCAGGAGCTTGATTAATCTAAAATTGATTGATTACCGATGCTCTCAACGTAAAACTTAATACAATCATTTAAAATAATAAATATAATAGAAAGGATTAGTTCCCATTTTTTTTTGTTTGTATTTTTGTTTTGTTTTGTGTTTTTCCTTTAATAAAAAATTCATATGGCAGTCTTTTTTTAATTTTAATGTTTAGATTATTTTTATAAATACATTTGTAGCATATGGCGCAAATGTATTTTCTTTCAATAGAAAGAGGAATTGTTCTCATAGACGTGCATAAGCACATTGCACACAAACACACGCGTACATACATGTGGACATATCTATTGGCAAGCGGTTACACGTGGGTGATAAACGTCCAAAAATCGAAATTGGTACAATAGTTATCATCGCTTTCAAATGGAATTGACTCGATCAACGACTCGATCTGGCAATTAGATCAACAAAGGAATGGAAGAAATGGAAACATAAAAACAAAACGAATTTATATTTTGTATGCGCTTCAAAAAGTAAATAAAAGAATATATATCTATATCTGGCTATCTGTTTATTTATCTATCCAGCTATCTATAAATAGTCCGATTGAAAATATATATATATATATATAGTGACAGTTTGAATTTACAATAATAAATGAACTATTTATAGACTTCAACTATGCAATTTTCTTTCACAAAGCAAGCTCTTGATATTGGAATAAATTGGTTAAAGGTAAATCGGTCAATTAGTTTGTTTTTGTGAATAATTTGAGAAAAGCGTGAAAATTGCTAAAATTGTTTCTGGTAAACCAAGTGTTCTCCAATTTGTTTACATTCCGTCGAAAAATTTGCATAGTAATCAGACGCCTACGAAAATCAAATTGGACGCCTGTATAAACACAATTTATTAAACGTCCCGCAAGAGGAAACGATTAAAAGTAGACGGCAATTCATTTTCGAATCGTCCAACCGCGAAAATGCCTGCAAATGTCGGGGGAATTGACTTGTCGTTAGGCGTCACTTGTTTTTGAGGGGCATCTAAAAAATTTGGCGCTATTAAAACGATTGGATGCCTTGAAATTAACCTTTTAACAGCCATCTTGAATAGTTTATTGAATTTTCGGAAATTTATATCCATGTTTTCTTGTAAGCAATATCTTAAGAATTATAAAGATGTCGAAGAAAAGAGAAAAGAAGCTAATTTTTATTCTCTCCCTCCCTCCCTCCTTCTCTCTACAAGCTATTTATTTTGTCAAAAGTAAAAGATTTTCATCTATTTACAAAGGATTAAATATATATACCGATTTACGCTGTAATGAGCCAATTACATGTACACAAACTTCCCTTTTTCCCTTTAATTTTTTATTATAAATGGAATTACTTTTCTGTAACTAAAATAAAATAATTATAAAAGAGAATATCTTAATATCGTATTAATCATAAATATCGTTATCTTAATCTATAGGTCTTGGCCTGTTTTCTACTTTTTTCTCTCACTTTTCTTCCTTTCGCCTTTCTCTCTCTCTCTCTCTCTCTCTCTCTCGCATATATACATATTCATACACTTAAATCCATCCATATACAATTTCACTACTTATCTATTTTCAAACAATACAATATTAAAAAGGAATATATTGTATATTAGGCCTACCTTTCATTTTTATTTCTATATTATATCATTCTTGCGAATAAATCAGTTTTTTCATTGTCAAAATCGTATACACCCCCGCAAAATCCGATTAGAAAGCTCTCATTAATAATAATAAGCTAGAATATTACTTTAAAGAATAATAAATAATCCTTTTAACTATTTTTTTTTCTATAAAAGATCTCCAAATATAAGTAATAGCAATATTAATAAAAAAAAGATAATAATTAAATATCTATAGCGATTCTATATTCTTTCGTCCTCTCCTCTCCCTCAGTCCCTTCCTCTCTTTTTCTCCCCCTCTATTTTATGCAATAGGTCGTAACTGTCTTTTAAGTCATTTAAGCGCTTATTTAAATGCTAACGAGTCAGGAATCGAAGACGTCCTATATGCCAGATATAAGCGGCTTAGAAGATTAGATGGCAGTCATCGACCTAACGAACTTTATTCAATATTTACTATCCAAATTCAACACTGTCCAATCAATTTAATGACGGAAAAAGAGACGACTCACAATAAAGAATTTATAAGAATTTAGAGGGTAATAATTATCTGAGCGAATTTTCACTGAATATTTAAAGA